TATTTAACAGAAATACTGCAATTCTGTAGTATAACCATCTATTTCACTTAATGTCACTTACCAATTTAAATAAATTTATGATTATTTTTATTGACAATAGGATCTGAATTTGTGTTGACACTTTTCTATTCAAAATAATTGACAGTTGATACAATGAAGACAGAAATGTACTGTGAATGTTAAATGCAGTCTTGAAGCAATTACAAAAATAAGATTGTGGGAATTGGAGGAGTCAGCAGAGTTAAATTTATAGCCTGCTAAGGACTGTTAGTTTCCGTGCACATATGTTGCCTGTATTGCTGCCTTATTAGCTTTTGGTGACTTACCAAAGGCAATGGACCTGGCTTGAACCTCAGACCAAGACCTATTCTCAAACTAATTAGAAGTGTATTTCTCTCTTGTTACTTAACTACTGAATTCTGCAAGACTCAACCATGTTCACTGACATGAACTACTATGATTATTAGAGTTCTTTTTGCTAATGGGCATAACAAGTAGGTTCAGGGAGAATAAGAGAAGTCATAGAAATCCAGGTGAATGCTTAGTTCATTAAAGAATGAACTACATACAATTTATAGTATACCCCATAATGATTTTTTTGTGGGGATCCAGTGACAACAGCCCAAATGATCTTGTGTATAACTGGGTTAGAAAAGCTACTAAAAGAGGATTCAGATCCTAATTTTGCTACTTCTTCAAATTGGATTTACATGCTAAGATGCAAACTGGCTTTCAATAAAGGTCCAGGAGATACAAATTATCTTTTCCTTTAAACAAGGATCTAATCAGGGGCTGGAGATTTAGCTCAGCGGCATAAGCGCCTGCCTTGTAAAGCAGGCAGTTGTGAGTTCGATCCCCAGTACCGATAAAAACGAAAAAGACAAAAAACAAAAACAAAAGCAAACAAGAATTTAATCAACTCATTATCTACCACACTTCTAAATATTGCTTTTGCTACTCCATAAATATATACCAGTCCCAGTAATAAAATAGTACCTTGCAGTATTTTCTATGAACCTGCATATTCCTGAGCATTTTCTTTAGCAATATCAGTATTTTCAAATAACTAGAGCAAATGCTAATATTTTATCTCCTGAGTATCACCAGCTGGAAATAAAGTTTGGGGCAGTTTCAGTGGTCCCTAAAACTCAGATAGGGTCACACCCATCTACATTACATAAAAATGACAAGAAGGCAGATTAAAACTATTCATATGATTAGAAAAATTGCATGACACTTTTAAAAACTCAAAATCTGTTGGTCTGTGAAAAACAAAACATTTAACACTAGTGTGGAGGTAGGGCTGCTGGTAGGGGTGTAAACTTGTACAGAATACCTGGAGAGAACTATGTTGTGCATGTACCTAACAATGTAGAGATTCTCCCTTATGTGTATGTCCTAGAGAAAATCTTACCCTAATATATTAGTTATCTATTGATATGTAACAAATTACTCAAAACTGAGTGGTTAAAAACAATAAACTTCTATTATCTCATAGTTTCTGTTGGGTCATAAGTTAAATTGTAGGTAGCCAAGCAGCTCTGGCTAGCATCTCAGTTTGCAGTCAAGATGTTAGCTGGGGCTTCAGTCACCTGAATGTTTAACGTGGGCTGAAGGATTCACTTCTAAGGTGCTTCAGTCATGGCTGGTAGATTGGGGCTAGCTACTGGCTGCTCCACATGGTTGCTAGGATGTCCTTACACTATAGTGGTTGGCTTTATTGAATCAGATGACTCAGGAGAACAAGGTGTAAGCAGCAATGTATTTTATAGGGGCTTAGTCTAAGAATTTGCATTACCATATAATGTTGATCACACAGAATAACTCTGATATCATTCTGGAAAATTTTAAATAAGGGCATGAAATCAGATCTTTGGGAGCAATCTTGGAAATTGGCTTCATACCAAGACTCATGTATTACAGTAGATATGGCAGCATTATTTGCAGGGACAAAGTTGCAGACAACTTAGGTTTTTATTCCTACAGAAATTTCTAAATAAAATGTGCCATCCTCTGTGATGGAAGACCTTGCAGCAATCAAAAGAAATATATACATTTTTCAACTCAGAGGAAACAAAAATGATAAAAACGAGTAAGATTTACAGTATAATGCAAGTGAAGTTAGTTAAAACCCCCCCAAAAACATTGTAGACCTAGGAGAGTGGGAGCACATGCCTGTGATTCCAGCACACAGGAGGCTGAGGTGACAGATTGTGAGTTCAAGGCCAGGTTGGGTGAGTTTGAGGCCTGCTTGAACTACCTCACAAGACCCTGTTCACAAACAAACAAACAAATGAATGAACAAACACATACCAAAACTAAAAATAAAACAAAATAAACCTCTCATATTGCTAACTAAATATGGTACATAAAAGTTTGGCTGGAGAGACAGAAGTGGTTAAGTTAGAGAAAGTGAAGAAATAAGAGTCTCTTAATAAGAACAATGCGAATAATATACCATGAATTGAGGACAAGAACTATTTGCCTAAATTAGTTGAGATTGAGGGTTTTTTTTTTTTTTTTTTTTTTTTTTGGTACCAGGGATCAAACTCATGACCTCATGCTTACCAGGCAGGCACTTATGCCACTGAGCTAAATCCTCAGCCCCTCAATTAGTTGAGGTTTAAAAAAAAACTTTTTTTCAAAATAGAGTAGTGACGGGGCCCAAGGATATCTAAAAGATTTTATTAAAACAAAATTTCTTAGCTGATAAGGATAAGGGTCTACTGATTCCTCCATGTATATTATTTTTATGATTCTCATCCCTGTGAGAGGGAAATTTCAGTTCTACTAACATACCTCCTTCTTATCCTAATTATATTGAATTGTATTGAAGTTCTTTAAAAGAACAAAAATACATTCCATTTTTCAAATGGAGCTATTTAGAATGCAAATAATATTTACAGAAATAGCTTACAAACTGAATCTATGGTAAGAGGCAAATGAGTCACATCAGATTTCCTTGCTGAGGATGTGTTTAATAGGACAAAGCTAAAAGAACTGGGTTTTGAATTTCTTGAAAAGCTATGGGATACAGAGGACTAAAAAAAGGTGCACATTAAGATACCAAGGACAGAGAAGATCCTTCATAATTTTGATTAAAATTAGTGCTTTTAACAAATTATATTTTGAAATTGAAGCAAGAAAAAGATTATCTTGTACTTATAGTAATTGAGTTTAAGATGAATGTATATTTGATAAATATTTAATAAACATTAATTTACTGGCCATGTATTGTTTCAAATTGATGGCTATTTCCTGGGGATCAAACTCATGACTGCATGCTTGCAAGGCAGGAGCTTATGTCCCTGAGCTAAATCCCTAGCCCTGGATTTCTTGATTAATTAAATTTGATCAGTCATTACTTGAATGATAGACTAAATGTAAGCTTGCAGGTAGGCTAATTTTTTATAAAGAGTATTTAGAACTAAAATGGAGAAGGTTCAAACGAAAGCTTAATTTACCTTATAGTATGTGGTGTGCTCTTGTAATTCCATGATTTTAGAGGGTTAGGGTAACTTTTGACATTTGAGAAGAATGATGATATTGATTGTATTGAGCATAAGCCCACTTGTTGGTAGCATGAATGCAGTCATCTGCCTATCAAGAGATCCAAGTTAAGTGTGCTAACTATGGTCTCCGCACTGCAGCCCTTTTGCTTCCAGTGCTGCCTCTGCTAAGCTACAACGAGACGTCAGACCAAAGGGGCCAATATTTACCATGTTTTCCTTCTTTTCAGGAAAGTATTTATTTTTTTCTTATTTAATTTAAAGGGAAATTATTACTTTTGGAAAACTGTTTTTGTGAGTGTAAATAGTTCTTCATTTCTGAGATCCCCAAACACCAGGCATGCTGTTATCAATTCCTCTGTATATTCTAATATAAACTAACACATGAACACATCACCCATCAGGCAAAAAACTCTAATGCAGAAAAATCCCCATTCTGCATTTGATAATTCTATAAAAATAAAAACCAGACACTTTCCTCACAGGGCTAACTTGTTCTCTGCTCTGTGTTTTTTTTAATTAAGCACTAGCTCTCTTACAGCATCGCACAATATTTGCTTAACAGATAGACATGTTTATATAATAACACCTGATTTTCAGGAATTAGTATTTTAAAGCACTGTAAAGTGAGAAATATTTTCTTCGAAACTTTTCTATTCTCCCTTTGATATTAAAAATAGTGGATAGGACTGTTGGGTGGGGATGTGGCTTCCCTTTTAGAGCACTTGCCTAGCACGTTTGAAGCCTTGGGGTCAATCTCCAGCACTAAAACCAAACAAGCAGCAGTGGACATTAGCGAAGGTCTAATTCATGAGTGTGTAAGCTCATGAGTATGAAGATAGGCTTGATTGCTCAGGAGTGATTCTGTGACATCAAGCAGAGGGCCAAGCAGGTATTGAAGTGTACTTCTTGAGTGACTGAATTTGTATTTCATCATTTATTAAACTAATTTATATGATCATTTACAATACTCATTAATATTGTTGTTTTTTCTCACAACTTGGTTATATGTCTAATGATATAAATATTTGTTCTCATATAAGGTTAAAATCTTAAACATGTATTCCAAGCCAGGCATGGTGGCACATGCATATAATCTAGCACTATGGGAAAGCTGAGGCAAGAGGATTATGAGTTCATGCCCAGTGTGGGCAACTTAGTTATTTAGTAAGGCTCTGTCTCAAAATAAAAAAGAAACAAAGGGCTGGGGCTGTAGCTCAGTGTGAAGGACCTGGGTTCAGTACCCAGTGCTGCCAATTAATAAATAAATAATCAGTATTCCAGTATTTTCACATTGGAAAATATGAAAATAGAAAAATGAAGTCTAAAGCTCTCAGCTCAGGGATTTTCCTTAAACCTATCAGTTATCTACTAGCTCAGCGCTCTTGAACTGCATTTACACACTGATCTTCCTTTAAGAATCTAAAATCAAATTTAAATTAACTGTATTTAAAAAAGGATGCATTTTCAGGTTAAGAAAAACTAAAAAACTAATTTGTAAAAGTCTTTTATTGTATCCGTGCCACACATAGTAGTGAAAAATAACACTCCTAAAAAAAGAATGCTACCTTTTTCCACAACATTTTATTTTAAATAAAACTTCCAAGTACTCTTACATAGGTACAAAAAAAATTCTGATCTATTTGCCTCCAACAGGCTGCCACAACACACAGTAGATAAAACACAGTGGTTACAAATGTCTTTTAAATTTATTTCTGAGGCAAGGCAAATGGGAAGGAAATGTCTCTATGAAAAAATACTGTGTGTGTAGGAAATTGTCACGATTTTATTCCACATGGATACAAATGATTATACTTTAATTTAGGCCCTGGTGGCTTAAAATTATATAACAAAATAGAAAAATGGAAAACTAATATCCCCTACACCCTGTTTCAAAGGCAGGCACTACCAAGATTAAGGAGACGCCACAGTGTTGGTAGAGGATAATTACTGTACAAGATGTATAGCTGTAATTACCTTCAGACTAAAATAAAATGCTACAGTCCTTCTAAGGCATAAACAATAATGTCTTCAAACAATATATACACATAGTACATATTTAAAACAAGACTTAATATAAACAATAATGAACAGTATATACATGTCAATTTTTTCACTGTTTTGAAATACAATTTAACTACACAAGTGATGCAGCAACATATATATATATATAAATGTACTTGAAACTCTACAGTAAAGTTTATTTTTGGTGCTTTTATAGCACATCAGTGTAAACAGTTTAACTTGGCTTTGTTTTATATTTTAAAACATTCCTTGTTGTATTTTCAAGATTTAAAGCAATTTTCTAGTTCTTCCTTTTCACAGAAAACGAAGATTCTGGGTGTGGTTTAATCATAAATAATTCATAAAATTAAATACATTCACTAAAAAATAAACTACAAAGTAAAAAAATGAAAAATAGATATTTATTGAGAGGGAAAGGAGAACCATTTCCCATATTAGAGCTCTGGTGTTGAATATTCAGTGCGATTTGATATATTTTAATTGCTATTGCACTATAACACCCTTTCCTTTGAAAATTCTTTGGGTGTGCTTCCCTGTTCTACCTAAATTAGCAGATAAATCACACAAACCAATAACCAATGGTCTTGGTTGTCAAAGGAGTGAAGCCTTTAAAAATGGTATCATTCTTCAGATACTTTTGATACTTATTTTATGGAAAAAGTCATTATGTATGTGCCTTGCACGTTTATGTAAATACAGTTCACATTGCTGGTCTCATTTGTCCTTGTTAAAAAGGGGGGTGGGGAGATGATTATAACTTCAGCTCACTTTGAAAGTATCTGTCCACTTTTTTTCAAAATACTTCCTCATACTGTGGCCAGCTCGGCCTATATCAGAATCATCTTCATTAAATGTTTCACAGTTGTCAAAAACGAGCCTGACATCTACAGCAAAGGTTTCAAGGTTTGGGTATCTGAAAGAAAACATACAATTAGAAATTGGTTTCATTGGTTTTGTTTTGTAAACAAATGAAAAGGTAATAAAAGGTAAAATAAAAAGGAAAAGGAAACAATGCTAGGCTAATTACATGTATACTGATATAAAATATATACTCATGTTCTGTGTCCTGGACAATACTGGATTTAAAGACAGGCTAAATAGAACAACAAATTTCTCTGAAGATGACACTATTTTTCAACTGATTGACATTTCCTCCACATCCTATTTGCTGTTTAACCTGTATTACAATTCTGTTACAGAAGTCCTCCTATTTGACCAATTTATAAACTTATAAACTCTGCCAACCAGTACTGTCATTTGTATACTGTTTTCCAATGCAACAGTGTTCGAAATAATATAAATGTATATTGCACTATAAAAATTACTTTTCCACAAGCTTTCTATATATTCCATTGATATACTATTCTGTTAAATATTTGCCACTTCTCTTCTGTCTTCAAATATAGTCTTTTGCTGAAGCACTGGAATAGAGGAGAAGTCTCCTCTTTATCCATGGTATCATTTAGCCATGGTAAAAAACATTAAGTGTTAAATTCCAGAAAACAAGAGGAGAAGATGGGAGGGAGCAGAGTAGAGGGAGAGAGACAAAGACATAGAGACAGGGAGAGAGAGAGAGACAGACAGACAGACAGAGACACTATAATGAAAAGAGACAGGAATATTGTTCACGGAACTTTTATTATAGTCTTGTTATAACTGATTTTTAATCAGTTATTTTAATCAGTTATTTTTGTTACTCTATTACTATGTCTAATGTTTAAAAGTTAAATTTTATCATAGTTGTGTATGTGTAGACAAAAATAATACATCTATATCTATTTCTATATCATTTGGTACTACAGTACTATCCATGGTTTGGGGCTTTGAAAGTTGAATTGGATTTCCTACAGATACGAGGGGAATACTGACTGTATGATGACAAGAAAATGAGTATGCACTTTTCTTTTACCACGCACAACATTGTGAGGGTCTGCTTTTCAAGAAAGAAGCCCTGTGGTTTTAGTGCTTTTCTGTTGGGATAAGCTCAATTCTTTTGCTGCAAGAATGCTGAGATGAGAACAGAAGAGTGAATGAATCTAAGCTCATAGGAAAGAGGTCATTTCAAGCCAACTCAAGCACTTCAGCACATCTGGAAAGAAGCCTTTTTGAAATTTGAAATACCTTGTACAGCCTTTACGTTCCACCTAGTATCCATAATATTGAAATAAAATTTCTCTATTTCTAAATGTTTGTGAGTAGCCCTTATATAAACTAATTTTCCTATTTTGGAAATTATTTACTTTTTATTGAGATGAAGAGATTCATACAACATAAAATTGGCCATTTTAAAGAGGATAACTCAGTAACATTTAACAATCACACCATCATTTCTATTTCCAAAACATTGTTACCACTCCAAATGAAAACCTTATATTCACTAAGCTGTTATTCTCTACTCCTCCTTTCCCTCAGCCCTTGGCAAGCACCAATCTAGCAGTCTCTACGGATTTATCTAATCTGCATATTTCATATCAATGGGACTCATTTAATATGTGTGGGGATTTTTTTTTTTTTTTTTTTTTTGGACACAGGGTCTTCCTATGCAGTTCAGGTTGGCCTTGAGCTCACTTCGAGGATTATTCCTCTCTTCATACTGTTCTTTAAAATAAGAAAAGATTAATGCAGATAAGGATCCAGGAGATAATTTTAGGTAAAATAAATACAATACTCAAATTTTTGTCTTTACTTTGTAGAAGGATGAGAAAGCTAACAGAACACAGAAAGACTCATTGAAGTAGGTATTTTCTTTTTTTTTTGGTTCTTAGTCTAGAAGCTTGAAATATTATTCATGAGTTTTGGTTCCAAGTCGGCAGTCTAGGTTTAATCAAACAAATTCAAATCCCTGGAGCCCAAATCCACTGGATTTTGCTTTCTGCGTAGCTGGCATTGTACATGGGATTATATAGTGTTTTCTTTTCTCTACCTCCTTCTACTGTGATATTCTCCATTCACTAGGACTCATCTTCAAAGCGTGCTCTGATTTTGTAGCCTTTTTGGTTATTTAGTGTTAATTTCTAAGCCTATTTTGGGGATTTTGAGTTTTGTGTTTTTACTCTGTTCACAAATTAGAGGACAATGGAAATTAAAGTTAAGAGTTAATTAAAAACTAGGAAAGTCTTTGTGTGTAGGTTTGTGGCCATGTTGATTACAAATTCCAGTGGACTGACTATTTAGATATTTGCCTTAAAAAAAAATTACTGGAACATATTTCCATTACAAAATGATTATATTCTTCATGGGAAGCAATACTTAACACATCTAAATTCTTTTTCTGCCCCTTCCCCTTTACCTCCTCCTTCATCTCTTGGTTTCCTTTCATTTTTCCAAAAGATCTACTTATTTACTATTATCTTTTATTTTGTTCTTTCTTTATATTTGGGTTTCTTGCATAAGATAACCATGCAATATTTAAGCTTGTAGGCCTGATTTATTTTACTTAATACAGTTTCAAGGTACAACCATTTTCCTGTGAATGACTAACTCTGTCTTTATTTATGGCCGGGTAATACTCCACTATTTATAACTACAACACTTTTTTTTTTAATTGGTCCTGGGGCTCAAACTCACGACTGCCTGCTTGCAAGGCAGGTGCTTATGCTGCTAAACTAAATCCCCAGCCCTATCTACAACATTTTTTTTAATCTATTCATCTGTTAAATATATATAGTGCTTTCAAGATTTAGCTAGCGATTATGAGTTGTGCTGCTATAAACATGAAAGGTATTTGCCTTTTTGACAGACAGAAAAAGCAAAAGAAGTAGTCCACATAACACAATAGTTTCTGCTCTTAGATTCATATTAGAACCAAGAGTTTTGATGTTCCCTGTGGTGGTTTGTAAAACCAAACCAAACCAAACCAAACCAAACCAAAAACAACAAGAAAAAGTACAAAGATCATTTTAAAGACAGCTACTTAACCTCCAGAATTTGGTCAATCTAGTAAATTATTTGACATTGGTAAGAGGAATATTGACTATTATGGGATAACCTGAAATTGAAAATAAATCATAAAGTAAATGATAAGTCACCAGAGAAAATACCCAGGAAAAACTAAATGAAGTAACAACAGCAAAATAATATAATTAAAAGTATATTGTAGAGTTCTTATTTCATTATAAAGTTCCTTCTTTATATTTTTGTGACTTTGAAGTAATGGGCATAGTTTGCTTTGAGTTATGTAAGCATATGAGAATATAGGAAGTGGTGGGAGGATAGAGAAGAGATCGTGGCCATTCCCATGTGGAACGCCTTGTATAGATTTGCTTTAAAAGAGAACATCCTTGTGGCTCCAAGATGGGCTGCTGTCCTGAATATTCTCTAATGGCTGTTACTCTTTGGCAGCAGCCTAGCGTAGTCTAAAGAAAGAGCAATAACTGTGGCCAGGAAGTCATTTTACTCTTGAAATAGGATCATAAAGAGAACATGGTAGATGGAACAAGTAAGTTTGCTTTTAGTGTAATAAATGGATTCTCAGTACTGTCCAATAACTCATAATGAATCTTTTAAAATTTTTTGGTACCAGAAATTGAACTAAGGACCTTGCTATAATTTGTCCACCTTACTCCCTCGTTCCACTGTCTGCCCCGTTCATTGAGGCCTCTCTGCCACTGTTGCTGGAATCCTGGTATCCCTTCCTCTCTTTCTCTGGAATGTCCTTCAGGACCTTGTGTCTGCCAGCAAGTGTTATGCCATTGAGCTATATCTCTGGCCCAAAGCTTTTAATTTTAAAAATTTCCAAAGATCTTCCTTTTCATTGCAATAATCTAAAAACACTAGAAGTCAATTTTTAAAAAAATCCACATCAAGTGGTGTCAGTATTCTAAATTACTTACTGTGAGAGGCTCCCTAGGTACATTTCATTACTCATCCACCCGAGTCTGGATTTGATGCTGTTCTCGTATCATACTGCTGTTTAATTTCTTCAATAATTTTAATTGACTTGTCTTTCATAGCTCACCACACTAACCCAGCACACATACACCCCTCTCTGAAGTGTGGCTTGTATCTTTGTTCTTAATTAGTATGTCTTTGTTTTACTGAAAAAGTGCCCAGTACATACCAGGCATTCAATAAATATTAGTGAACTGAAATGATTTACTTACTGTCCATTACTTAGTTTCTCTCTAATTGTGGAAAAATCCATAGGTTTCTTAATAACTTTCTTATAGCCAGGTACAAGTTTCAAGTTTACAGGAAGCAGAAAAGGCCACGCATCCTCATGAGTTTCCATTTCATTCAGGATCATACTGAAGAAAATAATGGTTTAAATTGGTAACTATAGTTTTAGCATTGTCTATTTTTATTAAAAATTAGCTTTCAAGTAAAAACTTAATGCAAATGTATTTTCAAAGTTAAAGGAATAAATTTACTTTGCATTTTTCTTTTTATACAACTTGTGAAAAAATAATCTTTAGTATGGTAAATGGGAAGTTATAAATATATAGTACATAAACATTGAGACAATACCTGCAAAGCGTTAGGTCCTTAGAGTCATCTCTTTTCGATTTCTTAACAGAAGTGAAACTTTCTTGTTTTGATACATTGATAGACGTGTTTTCCTCCATTTTTCTTTTTTTGAGCTCTTTGTTTCCTCTTTTTAGAGAACTACTTGTGGATGCAGAGTCTTCATCTTCAGTATCCCCTGTTAAAGTTACTTTTTTGCCTTTCTTTGACTCATTAGTCTTTTTGCCTTTGATATGCAGTTTTTTAATTTTTATAGTCTGACCACTTGCCTTTAATTTAAAAGAAGAGTAAATGAGACATAAGAAAAGAACCTTCTACTATATTAAATTATGAAAGTTTGGCAAGATGAAAAAATGTTAACTTGATTTAGGTTGATAATTCTATTATTGTCACAAAATATCTGTAACTTTCTTCTATAACATAAGGCTAAAACCTAGTAGTTCATGAAATATTTATGTTAAGACTTTTTAAAAATTTTCCAGGCATGGTGGCACACATCTATAATCCCGGCACTCAGGAGACTGGGGCAAGAGGACTGCTGTAGCCTGGCTACACAATGAGTTCAAGGCCAGCCTGAACTACATAGCAAGATCCTGGCTCAAAAACCAAAAAGAATTTTTAAAACTTGATGATGTTGGTCTACCTTTGGTACTAAAGAACTTACCACTGGTATTCTTTTAGTGTAGGTCACTATAGAGAACAAGACTAAAGAACAAAACAATTCTCTTTTAGAGCGAAACATAATTCAGGGCAAAGATAAACATAAATAAAACAGTTTATTAATAAAAAAGTTGAATACATAATAAAAAGTTACAGCAAAACATGAAAAAAAGCTCATTAAGTATCAAACAGAAAAGGCCTTTTTAAGTGATCAAATCTACTGAAAATGATCTCTTTTTTTCCTAGATAAATGATAAAAGGCATCTGCATTGTTTTAAACTTTTGTTTTAAAGCAATGGTGAAAGATGGGAAAAACAGTCTTTTGGAGGAAAAAATATGGAAACAAATGGGATAAAATACAGTATAATCAGAAACAAAGGACAGGAATTTCAGTTATGTATGGCTCTGTTTAACTAGCTAAATAACTTTGAGCAAAAAAAATGTCTAGAAGTACTGGTTCCTTATCTGTAAATTAAGCCACATATTTGCTGAAGTTGTTCAAATGCTAGAATTATATGATTTTAAAAAACCTTAATGTGTCCTTATGCAATCCACCACAAAGTACAAGCAGCACAACAAGGATCTTCTACCTTGACATTAGAAACAGGGAACTAAATCTATCTTTTTTTTTTTTTTTTTAAATTTTTGGCTGGGAATTGAACTCATGACCTCTTGCTTACCAGGCAGGTGCTGTGCCACTGAGCTAAATCCCTGGCCCTTAAGTCTATCTTTTGAAAGTTAAATGTTGTAACAAATATAACATGGTAACAGAGATGTGAAAGTCAGTAGCAATATGTTTTTGTTTTGATTTTATAAATATACTTTCCAAAGTCTTTGAGAAAACTACTGCACCTTTACCCTAATCTGACATTTTCCCCATACCATATCAAAGAACTGCTACCTATATTTTACTATTGTTTAATTAATATTAACTTTTTTATTATCAGTCACTAAATTCTGATTGTTTTGAGTTTTCATCTTATACTGAGCTGTTACCACCCAGAAACCATTTAAAAAGAGAATGCTTATATGGTAGAAAAAAATTTCACTTGATGATTAAATGAGATGGAATAATTATGTTATTTAACAAGAATAACATTTTATTCCACAAGCCACCATTGGGGATCAGGAACCAGTGCAGGCCAGGAGAATGAGCCAGCCACTCCCCTCCGAGTCTGCCAGCAGCCATCTCATCTGGTAGCTAAAGCAGGCTGAGAAAACTGCCTGCTGCCATCCAGGGAGTCTCAGTATATCTGCACATGACTAGAGAAGCCTGCTGCACGCTCCACCGCCTCCTCAGGAACCTACATTAGGAGAACCCAAGTGCCTGGCCCATTCCCTTACACTACAGATGGGTAGCCAATGTGGGAAGTGCCTGGGACCCCACAACCAGCTCTTCTGGAGGAACCAAGGAAAATGTCAAGACAAAGGAGCAAGAGGCAATCTCAGAACTCCAGCCCACAAAGAACAAGTCTGGGAGATATAGACATGAAAGAAAATGGAAGTCATAGACCTGAAATTTCTGAAAGGATAAGCAACTGAAGTAACAAAACAACTACCTGAGGCCATAAATGTAATCAGATTCAGATATAATATCTCAGGTAAAGAAGAAATGACAAACATAATGAAAAAAATGCTGAGCATATGAATGAACAATATAGGATGGAATTACAATGCATGAAAGATTCAAAGAGATATTCAGAAAATTAAAACTCCATTGAAAGTTGGTAAAAACACTTGAAAGAAACTGAAGATAGACTTTCAGACCTTGAAGGCAGATGCCAGCTAGTAATCACAAAAGAGAAGAGCTTTTAAAAATAACAAGGGGGGCTGGGGATTTAGCTCAGCGGCATAAGCACCTGTCTTGCAAGCAGGCAGTCGTGAGTTCGATCTCCGGTACCGATAAAAAAGAAAAAGACAAAAAAACAAAAAAAACAAAGAACCAACAATTCAACAGCTGCAAAATCATGCAAAGAAAAATAATTTCAGACTGATGGGTGCCAGCAAAAAAGCAGAGGTCAACACAAATGACATAAAAAGACTATTTATAGAAGTAATAGTAAAGAACTCCCCAAATATGTGAAAAGGACCTGACATGCAGGTAAGTGAGGCATATAGAACTCCAGCTAGCCATGACCAAAATATAATAATCAAGATCCCAGAAATTCAGTATAAGAACAGAATTTTAAAGGCTGTTAGAGAAAAGAAACAGATTACCTATAAAGAAAAACCCATTAGAATCAAAGCAGACTTCTCAATACAAACTATCAAGTCAAGAGGAGCTTGGAGTAAAGTGTTTCAACTCCTGAAAGAAAACAACTTCCAACCTAAACTGATGTGGCCTGAAAAACTATCTTTCAAAATTAATGGAGAAATATGATACTTCAATGACAAAGAACAACTGAAGGAATTCATGACCACCAAACCAATCCTACAAAGAGTTCTGAAGGACATTCTAGAGGGGGATAAAGATGACCACGAATTCAGGAACAGCAGCAGGCAGGGATTGCCAAGCAGGGCAGGAAATTGAATGGAGGGGAAAAGTAAGGGGCCAGTAGTAGGAGGATAGCATGGCAGAAATAAGCCACTGCATGTCAGTCATAACCTTTAATATAGATGGCCTCAATTGTTTGGTTTCATTCTCTTTAAAATAAAAACAAAAAACAAAACAAAAACACATTTCATCAATAATGCAACAAAACAACTAGTTTCTATTTGAGGTAAAGTATTACTTGAGTTAATTTTCTAACATTAATAAAGTAAGAAAATATAAATATGAAATCACAAAATCATAAGACTTACGTTTCAAAAAAGACAGTGGACTTCTCTCTAAATTTTTTTTAATAAATGATGCTATTGGCTCCTCTCACTAGATATATAAATACTTTAAAAGCAATCTTTTACACATTTACTCTGTTACCTGATTACTCTGTTCCTGGACACAGATATATCCCTCTTCCTTTTTTGTTAAAAGCCAAATTCAAAGGATAACTTTAGTGAGTCTTAAGCAGAACATACAACATCATGTACTCAACAGTGCATGTCTATTTGTTTTGTTTTGTGTTTCTTGAGACATGCTCTCATTATATAGTTCAAACTGGCCTCAAATGTACTATGTAACCAGGCAGTGATCTTCCTGCCTTAGTCTCTTGAGTGCTGGGATTATAGATATGAACCACTATGCCTGGCTTGTTATATATTTTTTAAAAATTGATTTTATTGGTATACTTTTGATATTCATAATGATCACATTCATCATAGGTAATCTGTACCTATATATAACATATCTATCTACCTACTTATACAGATACATATATGTATATATGTTTATATTTGGTACTGGGGATCAAACTCATGACCTTGTGCTTGCCAGGCAGGCACTTGTGCTGCAAAGCTAAATCCCTGGTCCAGCATATCTAGATTTTTAGACTTATATATTTATGTATTAGAAGTTGTGAACTGGAAGCTAACAGGCTGTATACAGTCTGTAGAATATGCTACTTGGCTCATAGAGTATGCTAATTGGCTCATATAAAGCTAGTAAAAATTCTGCATTTTTTCTAATATATAATATCTAGGAGGACATGCACAGAAATCCATAGTACTGATTTCTAGAATATCCTGGAAGACTGGGCTCATACTCTTATATGACAGAAAATGGACAGCTTGAGTAATGATCACATTTAAATGGGAGAAAGACACTACCACATTACCCACTAGGGGGCCAAGAGCAAACTCTTATTTGCGTGACTTTTGTAAGTCCTAAAGTTTGACAGTTCCAATATGTGAGTTTGTATGTGTGTATCTGAGTATGTAAAAATATATGCACACATAACATCCCTTGATTCTGTGATCCTGTGATCACATTATACAAATATTGGCAGATAGACACAGATAAATGAAAAATATTTAAAATCATGACTGTTTTAGAAATAGTCATTTGATAGCAAGATGTAACTTTTTATAAGTAAATATTTGGAATTTTGAATTAAGTGGGAATATGTTTCTTAGATCTTAACATATGTTTATCAAAATCAAATATTTATGATTGGAAGAAACATAACATTTAGTTCACTTCATTTAAAAAATAAAACAAAGCACACAAAAAGCCCAGAGGCTTAGAAAGCTGCATATAAATCAAAGGGCTATGATAAAAATCTTATGTCTCCAAGTTCACACTTTGAATAATAAGACAGCTAGAATTATAATTTAAGCAAACTTAAAACCTCTAAGACTTCACACATTTAACTGTTAATAGTTCATAAGTATTAGAGAAACTTCTATAATTTGGCATTGATGAATCTGGCAGACAACTTATATATAACCAGTGAAGATTATTACTGAACTACATTTAACATGACAAAAAGATCAAGTAGTAACTTTTTCTTAATAGGATACCATGCAGGATCCTTTGTAATATACAGTCTAAAATAAAATAGGAAAGTATTAATATAAATATTTCATATTCCACAAAACTCTGAACTTATAAAAACTTTTACATATATGACCTTACTTGAGCCTCACAAATTTCCATAAAGTAGATATTATCCCATTTTACAGATGATATTCCTAAAAGTTAGATAGCATTGCAATGCTTACAGGTTAAGAAGACAAAGATTTTTTAAAAGGAGACAGATGGAATAAAATAGAAGAAAGCCACGTGAGTATGGTACCCTAGAAACTAAGTAAAAACCACTATTTCTAGGAGGAGGGGAGTGTTCAAGTCTGTTGCAGTAACTAACAGGTCAGATGAACTAAGCATGAATGATTGGATTAGAGAACTCATTTGCGGCTCTGATAAGAACAATTCTGGAATAGTTGTGGAGGTGTAGACCTGACTAGAATGAATTCAAGAGTGAACTGGAAAGGCTGGGGATTTAGGGATTTAGCTCAGTGGCGTAACTGCCTGCCTTGCAAGTGTGCAGTCATGAGTTTGATTCTGCTCCCCCCCCCCCGCAAAAAAAAAAAAAAAAAAAGGTGAACTGGAGGTATTTGTCTAAGATCAAATATAGAGACTGGGAAGAACAAGAGCAGAAAGGTTTTTAAGAGTTTTTCTATAGTGAGGGTGTGGATGGATCAAGCAAATGAGGCCAGAGGAAGATTGCTGTTTAGTTTTCTTAAGATGGGAGAAAAACCACTTCAGTGGCTTGATCAGAGGAATTTCTTGGAGAAGGAAAAACTGGTAATGCAGAGAAGGGAGAACTGCTGGATAATATTCTAAAAGGGGATGAGATCTGAGGTAGAAGCAATGAAACTGGCTTAGACAGGGGCACAGAAGATTGCGGAAATAGGACAGAAGACAAGCATGTGAGCCCAGATACAGAAGGATAGTAGATATGGTGTAAGATCTTGTAGTACTTTTTTATTTTATTATGTCTTCCATTTTCTCAATGGAAAAAGAGTAAGGTCATTAACTGAGAATAAGGATGAAGGGGACAGAACAGGAGACAAATCATCACACATTATTAAAGGCCAGATTAACACCTTGATGTAAAGAATTGGGTATTTTCTGCATCCACATTCAGGTGCACAGGTATTGGTGTGGGACAAGACAAACTGTCAGAGTAACCAGAAAGGTGGTTTTACTAAGTGAGAGAGATAAAGGACTAGATAGTCCATGATGATAATAATGGGATACTGATGTAAGATGGATTAGGAGGAAAGAAGGGACACGAAGGGGAGAGAAACAGGGAAGAGGTCTTATGATAAATGAAGTCTTGTTGATAGCAAAGGATTGTTGGAATGACTACAGTAAGTTCAAGAGTGAAATGGAGGCACAGTATTTGGCTAAGATAAAATATAAAAATTTGAAGTGAACTGAAAAGAAGGAAAAGAAAGGAAGCAGTAGACAATTACAGAAGTTTACACTTAAATTTATAAAGAGGTGGTACTTTTAGTAATGATTAGGTCAAGAGCTTAAATTTAGGAGTTCCTGAGGCATAAAATGGCTAGCAAAGAGTCTGACCTGGAACATACACTGATTTTACATACTTTTTCTCCTTTCCTCTTAATTCTAACACTCATTTCTTTTTTTTATCATATTGTTTCCCTCTCCATTGGTATGAGAACTCATAGGTTTCTATTTCAAATGTGACTGAAAAATAACTTATTAGCATATGACCTAACAATTCTATTTCTACATATATATCCAAGAGAATAAAAAACATACATATAAAAACATACATCATGTTCACAGCAGCATTATTCATAACAGTCAAAAAGTAGGAATAATTGAGATGTATATCAATGATAAGTTGATAAACAAAATACAGTAAATCTCTATAAAACGGAATATAACTGACTACAAAAAGAAAGTTCTAAAATATGCACACATGGATGAATTTCACAAACACTGTGCTAAGTGAAAGAAGGCAAGAAACTAAGATCACATATTATAAACTAAATTTGTATGCAAAGATCAAAGTAAACAAATCCATAGAACATAAGTTAATGGCTGCAAAAAGTTGGGGTTTTGATGAGAGTTACTGCTAATAGGCACAAAGCATTATTTTGGGGGTTATGAAAGTGTTCAGGAATTAGGTAGTAGTTATGGTTTTACGACTTTGAGAATATGGTAGAGACCACTGAATTATTAAAAAGGTGAATTTTAGGGTATGTATGTCTCAATAGTAGTCAACAAAAAATTGCTATAAAACTTCATTTTAATCTGACAATTAAGCTTACATCTATATCAGTCTTACCTTAGCAATGCAAGCTGGACAAAACCAGTCCCCATCTGGTATGGCTGTAATCTTGGGTCTATGGCAGTATGTATGACAGCCTTTGTCACAGCCATCACAAAGGAGAAGCAATTCTTCATTATCACCTTTTCGACAGATTTGGCAGTACTATAATACATGAAAAATCGCTTAAAATTAACCCTCTGCTATGCACAATAGTTTTGGGGATGTTAAGCACATCAAAGTTCCTGATTTATATTAGTAACAAACATTCCGCTTGCTAACAAATATACAATAGCCATACACATCTATGTATCTCTCGTTACACGGATATGGACCACATGATGGGGTGAGCAGTTCTATTAGGGTAAATGCACATTTCAGGTACACTGCAAAGAACAAAGCTAGAGGTTGAATGCCTGCACACACTTCAGAAGCATGTACACATTAACATATGGAATAATTAACATGACATTAGAGCACATAAAGCAATGAATAGCTTTAATACATGGTACTTTAAAATAATTTCATCTTTTGCTTATCTTAGCATCCTCATGATATTCTGAGAAAGAAATAAGAGTTAGAGTACTTCTAAGATTAAAATTAGGAAACTTGTACTAGGATCAGTATTATAATTATATTTAATAAGATAGTGCTAGATTTTGACTAAACTATCCATCTATGTTTTGACTGAAAGATGTGTCTAAACCAGAAAACCAAAAGTCCATACAAATCAAACATGTACCACAAGTGTAGGAAATGAATCACACAAATTGTATTTCCAAGGAAAGAAACAGAATAAAGGACATGATTTTTTAATACAACTAACAAAATTATTTCTCTTCTATTTAAAAGTGTAATATTAATAAGGAACTTTTAAATCTGATTAGAGAAGAATTTTTTACACTCATATACATACTATATAATAAATTTCACAAAAAAAGAAAAGTTAAACAAGTTAAAAATTCAAGATTAGCTTTATAAAACAAGCACTAATATTTTTTGACATTTAGCTCATAGTTCACTCAAAGTAGAAAATGTTCCATAATCAGTATTTCAAAAGATTAAAACATTTAAATTTGGGGCCAGGGATTTAGCTCAGCGGCATAAGCACCTGCCTGGCAAGGTGAGGTTATGAGTTCAATCCCCGGTACCAAAAACAAAACAAAACAACAAAAAAACCACATTTAAACTAGAATTCATTTATACTAATTTAAAATTAGGTATAAAATCTTAAAAACAATAGTTTAATTGTTCAAAATTAATTTTTAATATAACTATATATTAGTCTTAGAAATTTAGTCTTATTTAATTCAAAATATATACCAATGATAGTTTAAGAACCTTAACAAAATATTATACATAACCATTTAACAAATATCTATCAAAAATGCAATTTTAAAATTGGTATGTACATTAGGAGCAAAGCAGTAGAGTTTAACATACTAATAATATCTATTTTATGACAAATTTGAGGTACATCTTTAAAACTTGTAAAAAGATTACTGAAAAATGACAAAGATTATATTTAAATTTCTAAAATATTTAAAAAATCAGATTTGTGAGCATAAGTAAATCCTCAATTTTCTACAATAGACAAGTAAAAGTACTACAGTCCTTTTTATGTCTTGCATTTATTATTTAAAAACAAAATTATCTTCTGATACTTTTAAAGATGACAGATACTAAACTCATAACAGTTTTGTAAAGTCATAGAAATAGCTCATAATATGTTATAGAAAATGTATTAACATTTGGTTTTAATTTCTTTGCTACTATAGTAAAAAAATATAGTGAGTGCTGCCTAATATTTAACATTAACAAAAATATAAAGCATTCTGTGAACAAGAATTATATGGAGGCAAATTGACAGCACCTTCTTTCCTGGTAAGCTGGTCTCTGTTAAAGAGGGTATTTTTGAAAGTACTGAGCCCTTCAACATTTTATGTAGATTATGAGGATTATCCTAGGCACTGTTACCCCTCTAAAAGTACTCATTAATCTTCAAATATGAAACTCTGACTTTTCAAGGTGCTTCATAATTAATAATGTATTTAATATTATTATTAATTTGTAATGTTGGGGGGATTGAAACATGATAGGCAAGCTCTCTGTAACTAAACTACACCTCCAGCCTATGAATAACATTATTAAACATTTTTAAACACACATTGTGAAAGTGTTAAATGATGATAAATGCATATTTATAATAGGCAAAAGGTTAAGGAATTTGTAAAAATATGATAGAAAGCTTTAGATTGCAGAAAATAAGTATAGTAATATAAAAGGAAGGGCTTGATACAAGTAGGAAGGGCTTGATACAAGTTTTAGGTTTCTTTTGTAGGCTTAGTAACAAAACACTGACTACATCATCATAACAATCTTGGTATAGATAGTGGTATAAATTTCACTTTGATGTAAAACTTGATCTTTTTTGATTACTATAGTCTAAGTTTCACCAAATATATTTGTCCAAAGTGATATCAAATTCATCTAATATTTTTTAGAAGAAAAATATTTTTACCTGGTAAAAATGCTATCATACTACGTAAACAATGCCTTAAAATTTATAGTAAATTCTAATTTAGAGTAAGAAAGACCTAAATTTGAACATATTATAAAAATTGCAAGTTGAAACTCCATAAATATTATAAGAAGAAACAACAACAATAAAAAAAGAAAAAAATTTATTTTATAATAGGTAAAAATGAGGGAAACAATGCCAAGGTAATTAAGCTTATTTTCTTTGATGGCTGTTTTAAGCAAAGGAATTTCACCTTTAGCCATTTATGAAAACAAATCTTTACTATCTGAATCTTAAATTAATTCAAAGTAAATCACAAAAGCCTACATAAAACAGTTACTTCTGTAAATTATATATAACAAGTAAGAGACATACTTGTACATGATTTAAAATAAAGTTTCTGGAAATAATCGACTACTCTTCTTTTTAATATATAGTGTTTTGGTCCTGTCACAAAGCAGAAGCTCACTGTACAATAACTAGGTATGTAAGAAGGGATAATCAGCTTTAAACATCAGAGAAAAGGTAAAAGATCTACTCTTCATGTTAACCATATCTGATTCAAACATTAAGTACATAAAGTAGCTCTCTATTCTGTATATATTTATTTGAGTACCTTTTAGCATTAAAAGAAATAAAACTGATAGAAAAATAAGATATTTTGGGAATCCAATAATGTAGCAGGTAATGTTAGCAACTGGAATGCTTGTAAGAGTGATAGGACCTTCAAAATATTTAGATTAACCATTTTTATACCAGTAGAACATAGAAGACAAGTTCAACTAGAATTATAAACACCACTCAAAGAAGGCAGAAGTAAGATTTAAAAAATAAAAGTAACAAATTTGGTAGGTTCCTTTAAAAAGGCTTAAGAAAGAAAGTATTAGATTATAAGGTATTTAAGAATTAAACTATATCAAGTATAGCATATATTATTGTGACAACAGGTAATGCATAATTAAGAAAGATCTGGAGGTTAGAAAAAACAAGACAAAGTAAATTAGTTATAGTATTTCTTAAATAAAAACACTTACAACTTTCATAATTGATTTTTCCCATGCTATTGATTTCTGTAATTGCTGAATGCACAGAGCTACCTGTGCAGCACTGCGAGCTTCTGATAATGCCCTTCTCCATACCCTGAGCCCTGGAGCAATATCCTCTTCAATTCTGCATTGAAATACAGAAAAATTAAGTAGGTCATGTCCATATTTATGGTTACTGAATGTGAAACAATCATCACACTGAAAGCCAAGCAATGACAAAAACATGTAACAGCCAATAAAGTATAAAGTTTAAGCAACTAAATTTGATGTAGTGCACAGACTGTGGCTACGTGCCTCAAAGCTTAGTCACAACCAGGGAAATGTAAGATCACTGCAGAATTATCAATGCACATAACAAAAAAAAAGTTTTTACAAAGCACCATGCAAATAGCATGATCCACATGGATCACAGACATACAAGAAGATACATAGATAACAGGCAATAGAAAATAGGCTCCAATTAGCAAAGAAGCACAATAATTTTTCAAGTTAATCTCAATAACCTACCCGTCACCATCACCACTAACGGATGGTGCAGGAGCAGGGACAGTAACTGTGCCCACATTATCCAGTTTGATCTGAATGGTGGTACTTAAGGGGCTCTTCAGATACCTTCTTTCAATGTTCCGCTCCAAATCAGCCAGCCTGGTTACAGCTATATCTAGGGGGTTGTCATTCTTCCGTTCTAGTGCATATACACTATTTTCTTCTTCGCCAGTAAATTCTCCATCATGTTCCTTGCACAATTTAGTAAATGACTTATGTTCAAAATATACCAAGTCCTCCCTTTCTGATGCAGGCTCTGGACACATCCAACCCTATGTATCAAGAGAATAATGTTATTATGGTTTCTTCTTAAAATGCTAGATAGGTGAGTTACCATCACTGAAAATATAGCAGTAAACCCTGGAAGATCTCAAGGTTCTTTACTAAAAAGTTTTTTTTTTTTTTTAATATTTTGTTCCTGATGCTAGGTTCCAAGATCAAAAAACTAAAAGCAATGTTTGTAATAAAAATTGAAAAAGAAAATAAAAAAAATTTGGTATTATGAAAGGCATACTTAAAATCAGCAAAGTATTCTGGAAGATTATAGATTAACATGCTATTTAATTTCAGGAGCTTATTTAAATGAAAGTCTTGATAGTCTGAACTTTGCTCTTTCTTTCTGTTTTCATGCCTTATACTATTCTTTTCAGATTGTTACACTAAACATTTTACTTTTGGGTAAAGAGACATTATATAAACTGGCACCTGTATCTCTATAACATTTTTCTGTTCTTTACCTACTTACACTCATTCTGTAGCTTTTATATTAAAATTTACTTCAACACAAAATCATTGCCTGAGAGAATCTTTCCTGACCTGCTTCAAAAGGAAAAGGTCCTCTAATACATGTTCTTATAGGACCGGATAGTGCTTCAAAGCCTTGTCATAGTCACAATTTTAGTATGACTATTTGATGAAGATCTTTCTACCTCTGAATTCCATGAAGGCAGGGATTATGTCTGCTTTTATTCACTTGCCTCGAGCAGTGCAAAGGTAAACAGTGGGCATTCAACACATACATCTTGACTGAGTAAATGAATGATCTCATGTTTTAGCTTGTGTATATGATCCTCTGGCTCAAAATCCTTTAAAGTTTTCCCACTGTTTAACAGTCTCAAATTTCAGTAGGGTATCTAAGTATCTCAAGCTACTTTTCTTCCCATTCACACATTCTATGCTGAAGTCAAATTACATGGCTTGTTATTTGCAAATATAAGCTTCCTGATCCTGATGCTGGCTCATGCTGTTCTAACCTCCTATTACGACATTCCCTTGGTCTCTTTCAAAACTTTATTCATCCTCTTATACTCATTCTCAGCTTCGACATGAAGTCTTTCTAATCTCTTTTCTATCTCCATCATAAGCTTTCATTTTTAAATTCATGTTACTCTGTACTGCTCTATGATTTTTAGTTATTGAAATATATATCTACCTACAGCTGTATCTATATCTGTACATTTATCTAATCTTACTTTCCTATTATAGGATAAGCTTTCTAAATGTAGGAATCACATTTCATTCAATTTTATGGTGTGCACTGTCTGATACAGAACAGGTAGTTAGCAAATGCATACTAAATGAAAACCAGAATTACCTTTTAAAAATTAAAATCCTTTAGAGATAATTACTTTACCCTGTATATTAGAGTCAAACTTTTCCCTTGCTCTCAAAGAAAATCTATATTTAGAAAGGAAGGATGGTGTTGGAAATGTGGCTCTGTGGTAGAGTGATTAAGGCAGTGATGATGAACCTTTCAGAGCTTTTGATAATACAGATAACCTGTAGCAACATGCCTGCCATAGATTTGCCACCACTGTCTTCAAGCCTTGGGCAGGATGGAATTACACAGAGTACATTTAAGTACATAGTTACAGTCAAGTCAAATAAAGCTCCTCCCATATTTTGAAAGGGATATGGAATTACTAAATAAAAGGAATCCTGAAAACATAGTATGTGTTGATTTCTGTGAGAAATATGGTACAACAAAACAAAACAAAAAAATAACAAAAAGCCTAGATTACCATTGGAGAAACCTAGATGGTTGAAAACTATCAAAAGTGACAATTAACAGAGCTTGTCACTTCAGAAAATGTCTTTCGTGACCATGCCTAAAGCTCTACATTTGACTTATTCTATTAATATTTATTACTCAGTTGTCATTATAAGTCACAGGTGACTTAAAACTAGGAGGTTTTTTTTTTTTTCTTTTTCCCTTTTATTGGTACTGGGGATCGAACTCATGACTGCCTGCTTTCAAGGCAGGCACTTATGCCGCTGAGCTAAACCCCCAACCCCAAAACTAGGAAGTTTAATACTCTGCATGATAAAAATAAGATAAAAATGATTTCATAAACTGAAAATTATACTCAAATGAGATTAAGAAAAATATATCAATGATGATTTTTAGCTTTAAAATTTAAGTAACTAGCCAGGTGTGGTGGTGCACACCTGTAATCCCAGCACTTGGAGGCTGAGGCAAGAGGACTCTTGCGAGTTTGAGACCAGTTTGGGCTAAAAGTGAGCACAAGGCCAGCCTCAACTACGTAGCAAGACCCTGTCTCAAAAAAAAAAAAAAGCCAAACAAACAAAAAAAACAGAAAAAAAAAAGTTTAAGCAATGAATCACAAAAATACCATGTGGTACTAAAAAGTACTATAAAAAATGCAAGGAATTTTTGTTATAGTGTGTACTAGTAAATCAGTAGTATGATGTAATATTAAAATGGTGGTACAAAATCAATACAAGTACAATGCCGGACAAGGGGAAATAAAAATCTTATAAACATAGACACGTCTATAGGCAGCTATGGGTACAACATTTTAAGAAGGACACTGACACTGGGTGCTTATTCAGAAGAAGATAATGAACCTATTCTGAGGATTAATTATTGAGGGAGTTAATTAATTTATAAAAGAGAAAACTTATCCAACTACTCTGGGAGGCTGGGACAAGACAACTTAAGAGTTCAAGCCCAGATTGGGAAATTTAGTAATATAGCAACACTCTGTTTAAAAAAAGAAAAACAAAGAAAAAGAAAACTCAAAAAGAGACATTAGAGTTATCTTTAGGGAGCTAGAAATAATTAGACATTCTACATATTCTCAAGACAGGACTAAGAACTCAGATTTTCCTACAATATAAAAAAAATCAAAATTATTAGCAAATATTAACAATAAAAATAAATGCACCTAAGATGACCAAGGCCAGCTGCTTAATGTGCCTTTATAATGTCTAGATACAGAGGCTGAAAATACAGCTCTATTTTATTTTTGAGAAAAAAATGAATCCTCTGCAGATGTATACATGTTTTATTTCCATCACTTGTGTTGTTAAATCTTCAACTATCATACAATTATAATTCTTAGAATAAGAATAATTCTTAAAGTACTGAACAAATCAGTAATATTAACAGGATGTTAAAATATTCTACTTAAATGAATGGTAAATTCCATTTATTTTAGCTTCTGAGAATAGAATTAAGAACATTTAAGTAGCCAGAAATGTGATAAGGTCAGTGTACCAAAATCTGAGTAGATCACTAGGAAAACATTTCAGGCTTACACCCTTGACTATATATATATTATTTTAAAAACTTTTGATGATATACTTTTATAACTAAGGATTGGTTACAATTGGAAAATTATATGGAAAAAAGTTGGAGGAAAATAGAAAACTTCTAAACCACCAAGAAGTAACAACTGACCATAAGAGGACAAAACACAGACTATGAGAACAGATATAATAGTTCAGAAATCAAAGCATATTACATTTAGTGTAGGAGCAAAGCTTCACATTTCCTGAGGAAATCACTGTCTCATAATTGCTATTCATACTAATAGATCCTGTGTCACCAAGATAATTTAAATTACATGCATTATTCTCAATTTAAGAAGGCCATGAAATGTGTAACATAAAGGTCCAACAAACATGCTAAAAAAATCATGGGACAAATGGAATAATTTTATTTTTCTCAAGAAAATTAACTTGTATGGAAGAGCCCATTTGCTGAAGATGCCAGATAAATGAGGCATTTTTATATTATATTACAGCACCAGGTGGAGGAAACATAATTTGTTAGCAAAGTATTTTCAGTAAATGATAAATATTGTCTCCCAACATTGGTAATTATGATTATGGCAAGAAAGGGATATTTTATTACTTATGAAAACCTGTATTTTTTGGAGATCTTCAAAATTAATTATGAAGTGAAACTTTAATTATTGATTACATAGTATGCTATTAATTTCTCTTCTGAATAAAATACAAAATATCAAATCAAATTACATAAAGAATAAACCTTTGTAGATATGTCTACTTTTCATGCTTACTTATCATTCATCCATTTATTCTCAAAGATATCACAGTATTATGAGGTGAGAAGACTTTATACCGTTTTGCAAAACCAAAATTTTTGTGCAAAGGTAAAACCCATTCTGATCATTGCCTGTGGCTTATAGTACCCATTAGATATACAAATACATATTTTATATATGCATATATAGGATACATTGAATAGAGTATATTTTATATCATAATATAACATTTGGATATATTTATATCTCTAAATTTAAATTATAGAAAACAAAAGTCTGAAATGTCACATGGCTTAAAGGGAAGAGATTCTTGGCCTTATATGAAACACTATAGCATATATTTGATGAGATTGGTACCAGAGCACTCAAGTACATGGGGGAAAACTATGAAATTTTGCTTCAGGTAAAGAACTCTATACCAGAATCATATTTATAAATACCTTTAAGAAGGTAGCAAGATTCAGTAAAAAAGAACATAGGCTCTGGAGTCAAATAGGTGTGGTTTGAGTCCACACTTAGCTACTTTATTATATGACCATCGTCAGGTTACTTACTCTGAGTCTGGTTCCTGTGAGATGAGGGAAATCAACTCAAGAGTAATGTTTCAAAAATTAAATGGAATAAACTGAAAACATTTAGTACAGTAGTTGGCATGTGTTAGGCCCCTAATAAGTATTAGTTGCATTCCATTATTCTGAAAGGAAATGTTAATCCAAGTTAATTTTACCTTTACTTGCAAACTTGCTGATGCAACTCTCCTTTCTAGATCTTCTACCTGTTGAAGGAGACTCAAATCCATTTCCATCGCTTGCTCTTCTACTGACCAGTTCTCTACAATGTCTCGAGTTACCTGATGTTCTTCATTTTCATTTAATTCAATAATAGCAACTACATTCGAAAAGAAATTATTTTAAAATTCACTTTATTTTCCCCTCAGTTATTCCAAAACATAAATAAAACTTCAGAAGTCTCATGTACATCTAACTTATCATATGCAAATACACTTGTGCACACTCAGGCAGCTTACTCTTAAAAAGAAACAGTTTTCCTGATGAGGTTTTTTTTTGTTTGTTTGTTTGTTTTGTTTTTGTACTGGGAATCAAACTTGGAACCTTATGCCAGGCAGGCACTGTGCCCTTGAGCTACATCCCTGTCCCAAGAAACAGTTTTTCTAAAACCCTAATGAATGTATGTTTATGTGCTAAAAATGCCAATAAAGTAATACCATGTAAGAAATGCAAATACTTGCAATTTAAGAAATGCAAATACTTTTTGTTGACTACACTAGAAAAACTGGTGATAAATTAAGGATGAACACATGTTTTAGAGTAAAAGAACGAGTTCTTGTAGTTAAGAAACAAGAATTTCTTTAGGTACATACCATCTTTATTCTTGATACAGGCTTGAGTAATATAATCCAAATGTTTCTGAATTTGTTTTTGTAATGCTTTTTCTCTTATTCCTCTGAGATGTAGCACTTTAAGCAAAGTTTTTAGGTCCTCTGGGTCAATAATTCTCCACCAACCAAACTGCATTTCTGTATCAAGATAAATATGTAAATCTTTTACAAATATTTTGAATAGAAAATAATAGTATAAAGCAAACCTAAAATTTATTAACTAGAAAACCATCAGAGATTCAGTTATCATATAGGACTCATACATAGTTAAGTGACTACAAACCATCTCAGTATACCTACCTTCTGGAATAGGTTTTGGGCTGGGAAAATCTACTGGTTTTGCCACTTCAACAGGTGCAGGCTGACATGAAGAGACCTTTTCATTTGGAGGTACTGGAGATTCACTTTTAATTGAAGTAACACCAGAAGTCAAGAATGAATTACCATTTCCTTCGGATAGCCCCAACCCTGATCCCAGACTAGGTAAAGGCGCTGTAAATGGAATATTGGAAGTAAGCACTCCAGTGGGCCACCCACAAAACTGAAGTCCCATCATAGATACTCCACTTTTCATCTGTAAAAACAAAACATTTAAAGTAGGTTAATTTAAGAAACTTCTATGGAAAATGCTTGAAATTATTTTTTAAATTTGGAAAAAATATTCTTTATCACAATTAAGGAAAACTAAATACATAATAGCCTCAATGTTAAATTCCATGTTATTATTTGCCCTGCAAAGTAATTCCAGTTTTAGATACAATGCAACAGTAATAAGTTAAAAAGTAATTAAAGCGATCTTGGGTATAGGTTAGAAATCAGTAGTTCTAATAAAGCAGTTTTCAGCTGTAACTATTCAAATGATTCTCCTTGAGTGAAAATCTTTATGGGGGTAAAAGATTAAATAAAATAATATCACAATGTGTTTTAATTAGCAGTACTAACCTGTAGAGACGATAAAGAAAATGGACTTAGACCAACTGGATTCTGTGTAGAAGATGATCCTAAAAGAGGTGCTGGGGCAGGTGAAGGTGACTTAGATGGTGGCTGAGACTGAGGAGTCACTAAAGAAGCAGTTGACATATCGGTATAGGTAAGTGAAGTGTCATCACAAGGTGTTCTTGGCAAAAGGCTAAACCACTGTCTATTCTTTTCAGTCAGTGTTTTTAATAACTGGTCATTGGGGAGAGGACTGTAGAACTTCCCTGGAACACTTGAGCCATTGTTAAACAGATGAGAGTCTGTCTTTTCCAAGTTGTTTTGTGTTGCTGTTGATGGAATGCTGCCCAACGAATGTTTTCCACTGTTTTGATAAGACAGTGTGCATCCATTTGTACTAACATTTGGTTTGGGGGTCATAACATCTGACTCAGGAGACATCTTAGCTACTTCCAACAGCTTGCTTAATTTGGAAAAAGAACCAGGTTTCTGAAGAAAAAGGTTTGTGTTATCTTTTTCTTTATGATCATCCTTTTGTTCACAGTAATCTGTATTTGAACAATTTAAAGGGTCCCCAGAAGTCTCAAACATTTCTTCTTTGATCTGGATACTTTCTGAATTTTTAAGTTTTTCTCTTTCTTTTGCAATTTCCTCTAGTCCTACAAAATTGAAGACTGTTATGAAAATCAGTTACTCCAGATTAAATCAATACTTAATTAAATTCTATTAGTTATTGAATTATATGCATGTTTAAATAAATATTAATATTCCTCATACTTCTTTTTTATAGATTATTTTTCACACACTAGAAGTTAATGCAGGATCATTATAAAAATGAAAATATATAAAGATACTAAAAATTCCACTACAGAGCAAAACTTACTATTAATAGTTTTATGTTAAACTTTAAGTTTTCTTTGCATTTAAACCTGTATAATTAAAAAAAAATTTTAGTATCACCTAACGGTCCAACTTACCTGTTTTTTACTCTGTTAGCATTTTGAAATGTCAGTAAATGTGTAACTATATCATAAATTTTAACAGTTACATAGTATTCCATAGACTGCATCATAATTTAAATAATCTTCTACCGATAGACATTAGCAGAGCCCAGTTATTCACTATTATTAACAACATGGTCAATGATGAATGACCTTGTACATGCATCTTTTCTCCACTTGATTATTTCCCTGGGATAAATTCCTAGGAAAAAAACTTATTAAGTCTTGTTGTCAAATTACGTTCTAAAACGTTTAGATTTTATATACTCATACTAGAAGGACATGAGAACATCTGTTTGTCTATACTCTTAAAACTAGAAACAATAAATATTTTTTTGCCATTTAAGATATTTGTGCCAAAATGTAAGAAGTGAAAAATGTAAATTTCATTATTTCTGATTGCTAATAAATCTGTGTATTTTTTTGTAGGTTTACTGGTAATTTCTCCTTTGTGAATTTTGTTCACATTTTTGTCCATTGTTTGAGAAATAATTTTTAAGAGCTCTTTTCAAAATATATTCAGGCTGGGGATATAGCTCATTGGCACAGTGCCTGTCTGGCAAGCATGAGTTTGATTCCTGATACTGCCCCCCACCAAATATATTCATTAGTGAAAGATGTAACGTAAGCCTTTTCTGACCTACTTCCTCAATCTCTATTTCTATTCTTCAGAAGTAATTGGGTTAATCACTTCTATATAACTCTCCAGAAATTGTATATGTACAATCCTTGGCTATCATTTTACATGCTTACACAAATGAAATCCTATACACTTTTGTGCAATTCAGGAGACTATACAAATGAAATCCTATACACTTTTCTGCAATTCAGGAGACTACAAGACTCTTAACTAAAAGTGTGTAACAATTGCATGATCTGGTTCCTTAGAACTTCTACAACCTCTGCACTTTGTCACTGACTGGTTGTTCCTGATTTGTCCTCCTTTTCAGCTTAACTATGCTAGGGTTTTGCTTCTCAGGGCTTGTGCATTTGCTGTTTCCTCTGCCAGGAATATTGCTTTGTTCACTGGCTCTTTATTATTCCTGTCTCAGCTCAAGTGTCAGCTTCTAAAGTTTTTATGATCATCTTATCTAAAATTGGTCCTTCTCTCCGGACTTCAGAATATTATTCCTTTACAGAGGACTTAGCTGAATAACGATCCATACATATATATGAGGGACTTACTTGAGGCCAGATTGAAAAATGACAAAAAAAGAGTTGAAAATGACAGTGGCTAGGGTGCATACATAGGCTGGAAGAGTGCCTGTTCCCACCAATCAAACCAGGGAAACGTCAAGATTCACAAACATTAGGCAGAATTCTTCAAGGGGTCTTCCCTCAGTGGTGGGGGATAATTAGCCCTAGACTAAGCACTGTTCTAATTCAACAAAGTATGAATGGCAAGACTTGAAGGTATCAAATATTTTCCAAGTAACTCAATTGTGTCACAGTTGAACAAAGCTGATAAATATATAGGAATTTAAAAATATACATTACCCAATAAGGTAGAATCTATAAGATCTGACATTAATCAAAATTAATATGTAAATAAGCAGGAAAAAATGACATGGAATTAGAATCAACCAAAATGGACCCAAAACTGACAAGACAGAATTAGGTGACGGCATTAAATTTGAAAATATAACGGCTGAAAACTGAGCCAAAAACTTAACAAATTCCAGGCAAAAAAAACCATGAAGTAAGCACTGCTAAACTACACCACAATCAAACTGCTCAAAATCAATAGTTAAAAAAAACTTAAAAGTAGTGAGAAAAAAATTCTTTTATCTCTTATAACCTTTATGTATTTCTACTGAGACCACCCTACTCCATCATCTCCATTAGGCATATGTGAAAATAGTCACAAGTATTCGCTTCAGATATCTTTGCTCGTAAGTTACCTTACTTTATACCAGTAGTTTGTAAGGGAATACTAATATTTGTGTTTGATTTTTCCTAAGAAATATAATCCCCAAACTGCTGTTATATCTTTTAAATAGTTTGTAGCTAATAATCTAAATATATCTAATAAAATATAGTTGATAATTTTAATAATCATGGTTATCTAATTTTTATATTCAAGTTGCTTATTTATAAAGTCACACCTTTAATTATAACGTTATTTTTAAAAGTTTTAAAGTATATACAGCATATTTAGTTTTTCTATCTCCTAACTCTCCAGTTCTTTTTAGCCCTTCCTTCTTTGACATGTGCCAATGAGGGTTAGTAAACTTTTTGAAAACAAACTAGAGGAGAAGAAAAGTAAGAAATAAAACAGGGAATGCTATTCACTTAATTTCAACTAAACTAATAATGCAACTAATTTCAATTAATATGCAACTAAAAGTGCATCATGATAAAGAAATTATCACTTCCCAATAGAAATAAACTCTAAAAGCAGCAAGTTTGTTACTGGAAAGAGATTATGTCTTATTTTTGTGAGAATCACTTTGAATTCTCTTAGTTTAGTTGATGAAGCCAATGGACTTTGGTCTGCTACTCTCAGTTTAAATGACAATTTTCATTTGGCTGTCCTTAGTGGGGCTGAAGCAGGCCGAAACTTTCAAACAGATTTTACTAAACTCTGAAGTGAAGTACAGATAAAGTACTTCACTTTTGTATCTGAAGTAACCACTGGCATGTAGAACACAGGCTGATCAGAGTTTTATCCACATACAGTCTCCTCCTGGTGCTCAGAGGACCTTCCCTATGATGCTTAACTTCAGAAATATCTCCTAGCTTCCTTGTCTCCAAGTTGACAGTGCTGCTGTGACCTAGCCCAAGGAGGCATCTTTATATTAGTGTATCTAAGGCTAAATTCTTATTAGTTGTCTACTCAGGATTATTGCTTTCCAGGCTGGTTTTGCTCCTTTTTTTTTTTTTAGTACTTGTCATGGTTTCATCAGGTAACTGGAAGAGGTTTTTCCCTATTAGAAACTGATGAATGGTAATAAATTTGTATGCTCACAATTTTTTTCTGAGGAATCCTGTTAGCTATACCCACAGGAATTACAACTTTGATACCCTCTTTTGCCCTAGTCCTTTGTAATACTGTCCTAAGCCATATTGTGTAAAACTCTCTCCTGACCTCCAGTGAATAATATCCAACATCAGGGGAATCCAAAAGCAGCACAAAACTCTCAACCAAATACTTCCACTTCTTATCCAGTTAAATCCAACTAACATCATGAACATAGTATGCTATATGCTAATCTCAGGAAATATAAATGCCAAGTAGGTAGAAAATGTGGCATTAACCAAGACTGTAATCACAGGGGTTAGCACATGGTCCAATGGAACCTGTTTTCCTATGTGAAAGCGAGGCCTTTCCTGCCTTCCACCTGGACATAATACAGTAAACCAACTTTAAAAGTTTTAAAGACTTTTATAGGCATTCAAAATCTGAAAGGCACTGGTGACATTCCCAGGTATCATCTTCAGTGCCAGCATCAAATAATAAAGACAGTTTATGTCAGATTTGTGTAGAGCCGTGTTAGCAAACCTTTTAAGAGACCATGCATCCAAACTAATCTAAAAATCTAAAACCCTCTTATTTATTGCAATTGACCCTGAATAGAGGTTTTTAGTTGAGGAAAAAAAAAAAAAAAGAAAAGGAAAAGTAAAAACACAGCTGTTACCTGATGCTCAGCTCCTGGGGCGACTTGGCTTGTATGCCGACAGAGAGGGCTCTGCAAGCCCACTGTAATAGGCCTGCTATAGGCTCACCACAAGTGGTGTAGAGCACTGGATACTAAATACAGATTTATAAAGTCTTATCATAGGCAAAATGGTATCATTTGAGGTTTTAGAGTCATAATATGATAACAGAATGTTACAGGTAAGGAATGTGTATAGCAAAGTTGAATAATCCAGTATATATTAATAAGGAACTAATTTCAGTAAAGTTTAAAAGAGACTGATGATTTAAGAAATTGTGAAAGAAAAGTTAACATTCTTAGATAACTTCAATTTTAAATGTCCAGGTAACTGAAAATGATGTGATCGTTAATGAAACTGACAAGTATTTAATTGGTCTGGAATAGGGTTTGTGTTGATTTTTAAGATTTTTCAAGTGATTCTAATTACAGCTAAAATAAAGAGCCAGTGACCTGAACATTTCTTCATCTGCTCTTTAAACACTACTGGGTTCTGTACTTTCAACTGACTTACAATTTTGTGAGTTTTAATTAGATATCTACCTTGAAACTTTCATTTAATTTTATCTCAAACAACTCTTCCTCTTGACTCTAATTGTTTTAGGCAAGGGCATCTCAAGTTTTCTACTGAGGATTAAGTCATCAAATTTATCTTGAATTCTACTTTTCCTGTATCATACTCAATAATTTCTTATAGCAGTTCTACCTTTAAGACCCCTATATTGTCCTATTACCTATGTTGTACTTAAATCTAGAGTATCTCTACTTTTTAGCTGAGCTATTGGAATGATCTCCCAAGTGATTTCTCTATTTCTTCTTACTTTTAATCTGATGTGTTCTTTGCTGTCAGGTTATTTTAGTGTAATTATTTTGTCTAAATTAGTCTCTGCCCTGAAAGACTCAGAGTACAGTGATAGAGGTGGCCTCTTTAACAAAAATTACTGCAAAGTATTAAATAGGCCATAAAATATTTCCTTCTTTGAATCTTTTAGGATCTTTGCTTTTGTATCTTTGATGGCTCCGAGTTTATTCTCTAATTTGCAGAGTCTTAATACACATCAGAGTTATCTATGGGACCACCTTTGGATTGGTAAGTAAGTGAGCAAGACAGATCTATGTGAAAGGCTAGAAAGGCTAGATTGATGAAAACAATTCTGTTTTCGCTAGATATTGGGGTGTTACATAAAATTTTCATTAAAAAGGATAATTCTACAGCTAAAACAAAAATTTCAAAAGCAATTTTTGATTTATAATTTCTTTTATAATCACGTATATGTTTAGTCAATCCTCTTTTTACTGGACTATAAACTTCTAAATGGCATAGACTATTTTATGTAACTTTGAGCCTCCTGTAGTGCCTGTAAATTCCTAGCACATAGGAGGTCTTTTAAAAAGTATGCTGAAAGAAGTGTCCCTCTAGGGGCTGGAGGTTTAGCTGAGCAGCATAAGCACCTGCCTTGCAAGCAGGTGGCTATGAGTTCGATCCCCAGTACCGATAAAAATGAAAAAGACCTAAAAGTTGTCTCTAGGGTTACTTCAGGAAAAATGCTTATTGCAAAGGTTAAAGAATATGCCACATGCTTAAGTATTTGACAGTAGAAGAGAAATCCCAGAGAAGCACAGCTATGAAGACAAATGAATATATTTATCCACTAAATAAGAAAAAATAGCTTATGTTTGATTTCAGAAAGAGTGGCAAAAGAAAAACTACAGGCAGGAAAGAAATCATTATTCATGAAAGGGGCATTGTGAGTTCAAAAGATATAGGAATCAAGATTTTACAATTTTATTAATTAAGTACACTTTGATGAAGACCACTTTGAGTGACAGCAAGCAGGCTTTAGAATTAATCAGTTGGCTTTTCTGTATTATGAGTCTGCCCCAGACCTAAATGACCTGCCTGAGGAACCAGTAGCTGGCAGGTAGAAACAGAACTCTTTGTGACAATAGTCACAGTGGAGAACTGTAGTGGTCTGTGACACTGTGAAGTCTCTGAAGGCAAGATAACACAACAGCTGCAGGTGTAGATTCTCTTTCAGATTGTCAAGGGGACTACTGCTAACCTCGGAGATAAATAGTTTTCTCATTAAGCAAAGATTTACAGCTTGGAATGTCTTTGTTTTCTCTCTTAAGGTCTTGCTCATTATTGTGCCTTTGGCCTCAATTACTCCCTGGACTGTCCCACACTCCCTTGATATGTTAAGGACCCAATACATACTGACCAATCCAGAGAAGTCTTTGTCTTAGCCTCAAAAACTCTGACCTTCCTGGATCCCCCAAAACCATATTGCATTGTCTCTTTTATTTTATCTTTCACTGTGCAGTTGTTATAAGATTGGGAGACTGATCAGCTCCCTATACATTTGATTATGTATGCACAAAATATACTGACAAGGTAACAGAGCTTCAAAAAATATAGGTTCTTATTTAATACTGGATATTTTGTAACAGATTAATAGTTTCTACCTTCACCACTTTCCATGCCTTCTACAAAAATCCCTCCACATTGGGGAAGAATCCAGTATCGGCGTCTGTAACGATCCTGGCCGAACATCATTGAACGTAAGGAATGAGAGGCATCAAAAAGCTTCCTTCTGTACTGACTCTGTTGCTGTTAAAAAAACCAAAGTAATCATATTTAAGTTATGAATTACAAGTGCTTTACAAATTAGCAAATAGTTGAGTTTACACATGCTTTCTGAGTGGGTAAATTTTACTAATAGGAAAAGATAGTATCACATGCCTGCCTTCAATTTTAATGATATTTATAAAGGCAAATTATTTTAAGGACAATTTAAATATTTTTACTCCCATGGAATAAAAGTACAAGTTTCATTTCATCAGGAATCTCATAGTAAATCATGTCTTAAACATATAAACCATGATTTTATATATAAATATTTTATTGAGCCAAAGCATACCAGCTCCATTCCATTGATTAAACAGGCAATAATATGTATGTAATTTATCAACTCTTTACTTGCTTATTTTTACACTAATGCTATATACTCAGGCAACAAATTATTACATTTGAGATAGATATGTGAATCAAACACTGGCACAATATCTAGGTATCTCATAATACTTTTAAAAATTCATTTCTTTTTTCAAAAAGTTCATCTTAAATTTTACCAATGCTTCTGAATTTAGTTTTTACGAAGCATATAAATATTTACTGTTTATAAATTTAAGACAAAACCCACAAATAAACAAATATAAAATCAAATCTAGGATACTGAAACTATTGCTATGAAACTCAACCAAATTTTTAAGTAATTAATTCCAAGAAGTACATTCTCACCTTTATTAGTGCTTTGTATTAATACAAAAAGCTGAAGAATACAGAAACTTTCTTTATAGATTCTAATTAGATTCAACATCATCTCTTAAGAGGTAGGTATTTAAGCTGGGCAATGAAATTTTAAGATTTAATTATGAGACTGTTTCTGCAGCTGTTCATTTTAATTATCCACACAAAGCCTATTTTGACTTAGCAGTCAGAAAAATTAATCTCAAACAATATAGATTTTAAAAACATTCCAAAGAAATCAAACATTAATCAGAAAAATGCTTACTTTACTGAGTTTTTCAATCTGTTTTTCTAGTTCTTCAACACTTGCTGCTTGGTCGCCTTCATCCTATGCATAACAAAATACAGTATCATATATTTGGTTATTTTTTTTTTTTCAGTGCTTGGGATTGAACCCAGGGCTTTACACATGCTAGACAAGTATATTACTACTGAACTACATCTCTAGCTCCATTTATCTATTTTTAAGATTTATTTATCTAATCAATCAGAAAATTTTTTAAAAATTTTATTTAAAAGGAAAAAGAGAAAAACACAAGACAAAACAAAGCGGTGTAAGGGTACAAGTAATACAGAACTACAAAAAAAAAAAAAAAACCAAAAAAAACCAAAAACAAACAAACAAAAAAAAAAACAAAAACCAGTAAGAAATAGTACTTGGATGGGAGAAAATATTTAATGAATGTTTCCGAGATACAAAATACTAGAAAAAGCACTGTGGAAATAAAATGCAACTTGGTTGTTGTTTTCTGTAAAACTAAGAATCTAGAAGGTATTAAATTGAACAAATTTTCAACTAGTAGGAAGCAAATAAGGACTTCAAAAGGGGTACAGATTTAGAGCCAAGGAGTCCAGTGACAATCGACAGTCTACAGAAGAATTTGTGCGGGGCTGGGGGTTTAGCTCAGCGGCATAAGCGCCTGCCTTACAAGTAGGCAGTTGTGAGTTCGATCCCCGGTTCCCGGAAAAAAAGACAAAAAAAAAAAAAAAAGAATTTGTGCTTTAACTGTGATGAAGAACAGCTAGGAATTTCTGAATCAGAGAAAAGAGAACATGTCTAGGAAATGTGGCAGAGAAGTTTAGGGGTATACTGTGAAAAGCTGTAAGTGCTTGGCAGTGAACAACAATATGATCCTTTATTTATTTATTTATTTTTTTGTGTGTTTTTCCTTTTTATCAGTACCAGGGATCGAACATGACTGCCTGCTTGCAAGGCAGGCGCTTATGCCACTGAGCTAAATCCCCAGCCCCCAATATGATCCTTTAGGGGAGGTTTAACATTAGGATTATGCTTTACACAGATTAATCTGGCAACAGTTGTAAAATGGCCCACAGCGAGGAAAAAAAAAAAAAGAACTAAAATTGACAAAACTAGCTAGTTAGTGTGCCAATGATTCAATATGGATAGGGGTTATGGACTTCATTAGGGTAAAAACAAAACAAGAAATAAAAGAAAAAAGCAAATGGACATACAAGACATGACAGTTATAAAACTGATAAATCCTGGTATTTCATATATTTAAGGCATGGAGAGACAAAGGAAATGAAAGGAAGGACTCAATTATGATATTAAGGTTTAATTGAGGAGACTGGAGGAATTATGGTATCATTAATTGAAGGGGTCATTTTGGAGAGAAGATAAAATTATATTTTGAGCACACTTAACTTTTAGAATAAAAATAATCCCCCACCTACAGTACTAATTTCATATGTTAAAAGTTGGTATGTGATTAACATAATTCTTTAATATGATGCAGGTACATTTTAAAATTAATAAAAATAAGATAAAGCTTTTTGGTGCTAGGAATTGAAACTTAAGGACTTACACAACTTAAGCAAGTTTTCTCTCACTGAACTAATGCCTCTGCCCCAAAATTTGTTCTTGATGTTTATTTTCTTTTCTCTTCTTTTTCTGTGATCTTCACTTTCTAGGAACTTTTTTTTTTTTTGTCTTTCTCGTTTTTATTGGTACCAGGGATTGAACTCATGACTGTCTGCTTACAAAGCAGGAGTTTATGCCGCTGAGCCAAATCCCCAGCCCCTCTAGGAACATTTTTAAAAAGCCATACTGTCACCAAGCATTCCCAAATATATACTAATATATCAGTATGGCAATCTACTTCATCAAGGAAGTCAAAAGAAGACTTCAATAGTTTTGCCATTATGTATGATTTATGGACTGTATCCAAATTTAGATGACTAAGTTAAAAAGGCACTTTGGTATTCAAGGGGTGATCAAAATATACAGGGAATGTTTAATTTTAAAAAATTATTGGGGCTGGGGATTTAGCTCAGCGGCATAAGCACCTGCCTTGCAAGTGTGCGTTCGTGAGTTCAATCCCAGGTACCGATAAAAAAAGAAAAAGACAAAACAATTATTATAGTAAAAGACACATTGCCATTAATCGCCCTCAAGCTAACTCTCTTTATTTCAAACAGATTTATACCATTATTCTTGCCACTTTTGGAAGCAAGTTCTGAAAGTACTCTTTCATTTCTACAAGGTGTGATGAAAAATATGATGAATACATCTGCCAAGTACCAATCAATGGAAAGGCAGGCTTGTAAAAACATTACAGTATGTCCATATCAACTGGCCCTGGCACCATGTGACTTTTCTCCAAAGTCAAAAGGGCAAAAGGTAGTAAATGTTTTGAACTGATTTGGTACCCTGAGGCAGCCATGAGAGCACAACTAAAGAGACCCATGAAGATGAGTGCTTTGAAGATTAATAGCAATGTATCTTCTAATGTAGTTGAAAATAATTAAACATTCATCATTTCTTGATCATATCTCATATTATTTATGTTACTGGTAACATTAATTCTAATTGGAGGGTTAAAGGAAATCTTAAAAATAGGGGCAGTAGCCAGGCGTGGTGGCTCATGCCTGTAATCCCAGCACTCGAGAGGCTGAGGCAGGAGGATCCTTGCGAGTTCAAGACCAGCCTGGGCTACAAAGTGAGCTCGAGGCCAGCCTGAACTGCATAACGAGACGCTGCCTCAGAAAGACAAAAAAAAAAAAAAAAAAAAAAAAAAAAGCAGTGACCCTTAAAGCTTGATTCTCTTAATATTTAAATATAGATCCTAAAGTGATGGTTATGGCTTATATCTAAATAACCACCAAGAACCTCATGTGCTCATAGGTTGGGCTTTTGGAAGGTGATTCAATGATGGGGTCCAGGTAGTTGACTTGCTGTTTGGAGGTAGAAGACACTGGTCACTGGGGACTTGGAAGGGTTTATCTTCTTTCCTGCTTCTTCCCCTCTATCTCTACTTCCTGGACTTGAGCAACTTCTATGCTATGCCCATCAACCATGCCATCTGTCCTTAGAACCAGTTAACCATGTATTATAAACTAGGGCCAAAATAAACTTCTCCTCCTTTAATTTGTGAGTATTAGGTATTGACCAGAGATGAGAAAGTGGCTAAGACAATGATCTTAGTGAAAATTACTTTTAACTACAGAAGGCAAACATTTCATAATTTATTTATACAATAATACAGTTCAATCCATAAATATGTGGACTAAGACAACAAAAAGGCATGTATCAGTCAAGCTGATTAAATATAATATTATTTTCTGCAATGCTGGATATTACACCCAGGACCTAGCATAAATCGTGTGGGTGTTCTATCCCTGAGGTACTCCTCCAGCCTAGTAAATGTAATTTTTAAGATTTTTTTCTCATGATGAGAAAGAAATAATACACATACTTTGTTTTACTTAGAGGAGTTTTGGCTGATACTGTTTATAATTTTAAGAATCAAAGTAATCTCTAAGACTACAGAGAAAAGCTGCTACAAAATGAACATCAATTCTAAGAACATAGGTCCCTTAACTAAAAAAGGCCATTATATGTCCCCATAAATTCACTCAGAGTTTAAATGTCTACAAAATTTTTTCATGCCAACTTGTGATTTTAAAGCTTACATTGATCTTAGCATAAATCTGACTATATATTAAAGGAATGAAGAGTTAAAAGAAAAGGAAATCATCTTTGAGATGAAGGGCTATGATTTAGTTATCAGCAGTGTCTTTTCAGTATAAGGGATCATATGGGTGTCAGTGGGAAACCTGTTATTAATCCTTTAAGAGATATTACTAAAGTACCGACACTATATTTATAATTTAAGAGGCCAAACATATTTTTGGAGAAATGATGTACCTAACTTATCAAGTAGGTTGATCGGGTAGTCAAAACTGTATGTGTGTGTGTGTGTGTGTGTGTGTGTGTGTGTGTGTGTGAATTTGATAGATGTCTCCTAGATATTTATTGTAAAGAATAACATAAATAATTTAAAGGTAATTTTAATTTGATTTCTCAGATTCCAACATATTTCTTTTTCCTCCATTCAGATTTTATTGGTACATTTTAGGTACATATGATCACATTCATACCAGAGAATTTGTACCTATACATGATATAACTTTTTCCCCCATTTCTCTACCCTCTTTTTACTCCCCTCTCCATTTACAAAAGCTCTATTTCCATTCTTTCCCCTTTTTCTCATTTTTTAAACCTTTCCCTTCTTTCCCTTCCTTGCTATTTGAACATTTTCTTCCCATGTCACAATATCTATTATACATTTTGGTTCTTTTTTATATTTTTGGTTTTTCACACTAGAGAAACAATGCAGTATTTTGTGTCCAATTTATTTCACTTAAGAGAATGATCTCAAGGTGCATCCATTTAATTAGAACTGTCTCAAGCTTATCCTTCTGGCAGAATAGTACTCCACTGTATAAAAATCCCACATCTTCCTTATCCACTTCCTTATCTACCAGTGGATGGGCATTTGGGCTGTTTCCAAGACTCAGTCATTACAAAGTGTGCCACTATAAACATTGGTGGGTACATTTCACTATGGTATGATGTTTTTAATTCTTTTAGAAGATATTAAAATGGGGAATAACTGGATCAGATGGAACTTCTAGTCTTGAGATTTTTGAGGAATCTCCAAACTGATTTTCACAGTGGTTGTACAAGTCTACACTCCCCCCAACAGTGAAAAGGAAGGGTTCCCTTTTCCCTATAGCATTTGTTATTAGTTGATTTCTTAATGATAGCATTCTTTTGGGAGATGACTCTAGTGACTCCCTTTGAATGCAAAACAATTATTGTGACTTTGATTATTTGGAGACTCATTTTTTATACTGATATGTAAAAAGCTGGCTAGGATATTTTTTTTCTCTTTAATTGGCCCTAAGCATTGAAAATAAGTATAGCCAAGGTTCTAATACGTAATCTCTAACGCTAACAAACAGTCTTGGTTCCTGCATAGTGTTTTCCAGTACAGTACAGATATATATATACAGGATATGAGC